GTAAGCAATTAAAATAAGCAATTAATATCAGTTTATTTGATAGAATAGTGGCTGTACCATGTACCAGGAAGCCACTAAGGGCCATTTCTATACAGATCCCCTCTAGCTGGCTACTCTGTGCAAAGTCCAGGCCAAAGTGTTTCGATTTCGCTCTATCCAAAACTGTGCTTCAGAACACCTCTTCAAACATCTGCCTGAGTGAAACTTTTATGAGACATAAGGGAGAGAGGGCAACATGTGCAACAACAGCCCACATGAGCATCTGGGGGGAGCCAGCAACAGAATAATAAACAGACCAAAGTCTGTCGGTCACTAACAGGGTTTATTGTGCATGGTTGAGCACCCCTCAGACAGAGACAAAGAAAACAAGCAAAAAGAAATCCGGAGATGTAGCAAGATGTCTGGTAAATATATTATACGTGTCTCAATGCCTAAAGGCTTACATTTGTTAACTCTTTCTGCACGCCACACATCAGAATATCGTTAAACAGATGCGGACCAGGTGTCAACACAAGCTGATGTTAAAATAATAGACAAAAGGAAACCCTACAAAGTGAATGAGGAGCTGTTCTCCACTATACTGACAACTGGCGAGGTTAGGAAAACACAACTAATCGAAATGCATTACAGTTAATGACAACAGAAGCCAATGTGCAGGTCTGCTGACTATCGCCCTGTCTGATAAATGTCTCCTTTCAGCTGATGGAAGAAGAGCGGGGGTAGACAGCGGGAGAGAGAGAGAGAGAGAGGAAAGTCAGGAGGACTCGGCCTGCCTGGGGGCATGGACAGTTGAACATGGCGGACAGTGTTTAGCTGAAAAGTGGCTTTGTGGCTGCATGGTGTTCCTGAAAAACGTCCCCTGTAGTCACAACAAACAGAGGACAGTACACTGAGCCCAGCTCCATCGACTGGTCGCAGTGTAGGAAGCGAAGCTATCCGAGGGGGGGAGAGGTATCATCAGGAAGCATCTGGCATCCTACATGTGGGTGCTGAGGAACATCCAGGTTCAAACGGACACTCCAGCGAGCTAACCACCCGTTTTGGTATTTTTAATCAACCGCTTCACAGTAAAGGGAGTCAGGTGTTTCAGCCTGGAATGCCCTCTCTGCAGCAGTCTGCACTTTGGTCATGGGTTATGTCTGTATCTCTGCTGAGGTGACAACGTCTGGAAAGATGAAGTGGTACAGAGGTCAGTGCTGATAGATGTGTAGCAGTGAAGGACTTCACACGCGGAGCAGACAGAAGAGCCGACCAGCAGCCGTGTGGCACAGCACTTACAAGACATACAGTGAGGTGTACACCCACCTATGTCCGTCTATCCTCTGTTTTGTTTCTGAAAATAACCGTTGAACACGTTGCAGCCTTATACTAGAGCGACAACAAACAGCTTTTTAAAATCTGATCTGATGATTATTTTTTAATGAATTGTTTGGTCTATAAAATGCAGGAAAACATGTGCAAAACGCCTATTATGTTTGTCTTGAGCAGATGGTGATGTTCAAATGCAATCCTCTACAGCAACTCTGCCATAAATTCTACTCACACAAAGCTTATTAATTTCCAGTTTTAATTTTATTTCATGTTTGTTATTGAGTTTGTAATTGGTGGTAGCGTTGCTCGAGACTGTAGTTAATACAAAAGCGTATCGAGAATTGAAAGTCCTCTTTTGCATCTTTAAGACACCGCAGGACACTAGAAACTCTCTTCATTATAGTTTTATACAACACCGACAGCAACTACACGTTCAATCATAAGTCCATCCATTATCTATACATCATTTAATCCTCACTGGGGTCACGGGAGGGGCTGGAGTCTATCCCAGCTGACTCAGGGCGAAGGCAGGGGACACCCTGGACAGGTCGCCAGTCTATCACAGGACCACACTTAGAGACAGACCATTCACTCATAAGTATAAAACAGACTTACGGCTTTTTTTGGACTGCACATGGGTACCTAATAAAGTAGTCAGGATGTGTATATCATTAAGCATCTTTACAACGCAGCAGGCATCAACCACTGCGCATATTTTGCCTATTAAGCAATTTCTGGTTGTGAAGCACTTTACCCTGATAAAGACTGTCCAACTGAACAACAAATCTCATGATAGAGCAGGATTCTTATCTTGTATAGATGGGCTTTCACAGATGATAGATGACACAATGATTACTCAGGGCTAATGAGCAGAGAGGCAGTGCACGGTATCTCGCGGTACACTCCAGCGCTGGCAGCACTCGGGTCAGTGTCTGTGTCTACATGCTGCATCATGCACTTCAGTAGTGAGCCAATTTCGGACATCTGGGATAAGGTGAAGATAACGGGGGATGGAAGAGGCAGTGCGAAAAAGAACATGCTGTATGTTGATTACAGGTTGTTCTAACAGTGGGAGGAAGACAGAGGGCTCCTTTGAGGATAGTGGGACTGTGATTAAGGGAGTACAAGTGGCACACACGGGCCGACGTACACTGTAGGGTCTAGTCCACAAGCAGTCATGTGGATGAAAAACTATAATTACCACCTCACGGTTGCGTGCCTCAGACAACCAGTCAAGATGCAGTTTACATCCATGTTTGTCCAGACTGAAATGATATATAGTTAACAGTTTGAAGGAATTTAATAAAAGGTAAATGTATTTTGTGGCTAAATGGAAGTTATTACTATAGTGCCATGTACGATTGGAGTAAATAATTTCCAATGATAAATATGCCATCTTCCTTTAGAGATGATGGATGTTGTTGCAAAGAAGTTCCACAAACTGGATGCATCACGTACATATTGAACTTGGCAACGAGGAAGTTTTCTCACAGTTTCTAGGTGGATGCGGGCCTATAATTCAGCATCTGACCAAGTGTGAATTACGGTCACAATCTCCCCTTCTGTTTGCACGCTATTGTGCTGACTAATAAGATAAGCTAAACTTTAGTGATCCCTCACTGGGGAAATTTATGACACTAGCCACACAATTGATTTTGCAGGACATTATGATGACCCTGTGAAGTTGACTTTTGGCCATTTGTTTATCATCACAATTTCATTTTATCCTATCATTGTTTAAAATGTTGTCATAATTAGCATGGAAATTTTTTACATTACGGTCAAAAAACATGTTTCATGAGGCCGCAATGACCTTGATGTTAAACCACCACAATTCAATCAGCTTATCCTTGAGGCCGAGTGAACACTTGTGCCACATTTCAAGAAATTCCCTCACAGCATTCACCAGATACATCGGTGTATATTGAGATGTACAGAAGGACTTAACTGGCCTGCATCGGCTCTGGAAAATGGTCTGACTGCACTTAATTATCATTCTGTTATTGTGAAAGAATTGCTCTGGCTTGCTTGTATTTTTTTAACCCAAGAACAATCATTTTGGACAGTGCTAAGCCCATGGTACAGCAAGGGGGGGATAGCTTTTGTGTAACATTTATTGTTCTGGTGAACCATTTGCACGCAGGGATGCGAGCGCTGTCATTAAATTGAGTAATTCTCAAGAAGAATGCATGTGAGGCTGCACTTTGTGAACAATCCAAACCTTTGTCAAAACTTGCCATTTTCACAATACTGGCTGCTAGCTCGGAGGTGGTTGCTGCTTCTCGTAGCGGAGGAAATTTTGAAAATTCCTCGCGGACAGTGGATGGAAATGTCATGTGAAATGTGCGGCAGGGGAGGCAGCCTTCAGCCACAGTGAACATCCAGGGAATCAGACTAACCCAAGGCTGTCATATGTTCGGCGAGCTGGTTACATGTACCTTGGTATAAAAAGGCAGAATTTCAACACAAGATGATCAGAACCTGGTTAGAATTGAACATCTTGATCCAGGATATTTCCGTTAAATTTTTGTTGGCAAACACTGGAGGATACTCTGACTGTGCAACCAGTGTGTTACCCCTACAAAGTTAAACCTGACACTGAACACCACCTGCCCCTTTTTTTTTTTTAGGATGTAATCATGTAAGGGCATGTGTAACTCATAAGCAAATTAAGACAGGAAACCCACACCTTTTCAAAGGAACCACAGAGTACTTTCCATCAACAAGAATCCATGGCAAAATACACCGCCCCTACTAAAGAGATACACATTATTTTTTTTCTCTATACTTCCTATAAACAGAAATGCCTCTGCCTAATCTCCAACCAGTTTGCAGTGACATCTCCCTGATCCTAAGGAGATCAAGGGAAATACACCCACTCCACAGTGACATAACCGACCTGAGTATAAACTCTGTTTCTGATATTTGAGCCCATGAAATGAAATCCCTAATCCACAATGTTAAGTTTGCAGAGGAACACAGCAGATGGGCGCACACAAACAGACCGAACATACTTCCAGTAATACTTACTCAAATGTGAAGAAAAGTCCACAAGTCACCAGAATGAGGACAAGGGTGAGGTAGAAAACCCCTGTCTGCTTGGCCATCATAATCCTCCCATCACAGTAAAATTTATTCCGACCTGGGAAGGCCTCCCACTTCCTCTTCTTTGGGGTCCTTTTCTTGTAAGGGGTCTCCATTGGCGTGGAGCTGCGAGTGCTTATTTGGCTGTACTCGCACTCTCTCATGGACTCAGACACTCCGAGATGCATCAATCGCTGATTAAAATCCCCAGAGCTGAATAAATCCCGGGCAGATGTGCCTCTGTGAAGGAGACAAGTTCAGTTTAGCAGGCAGGCTAAGATTCACAACTTTTCAAACAAAAGCTTTGGGGGGAGATGAATGTAGGTGGGGGAAAAAAGTTTGAGAGTCGTGCACTTCCTCTTATTAATGACACCTCTGCTAACGCTCACTTGTGCAGTTTCCCCCCAAAGTCCTGTCTGGCCACACGAGTTCGGTAAAACCACAAACTACCTGCACGTTTAAGCTAATGTAATGTTAGCTAACTTGGCAAATAACTTCACCGGCTGCCCTCACATACCCATAGCTTAACATTAATAGCGCCTTTGTTAGCTAGCAACCTGGCTAGCACGACATAGCAGCTGCTGAATGTAAAGTGTCGCTGAAGCTAACGCGGCTAGCAAGTTGATGAGATAACCGTTAAGTTAAATGTTAGCACCAACTTGTGCAATTAGCTCCCACTTCACCCCACGAGCACTGACTTGGCTATTTTACTTTTCAGCCTGCCGGTCAATGGGAGCTAAGAAGACGGGGTTTTTTTTTGAGTGCACTCTTCCTGCCCGGCTGTCAAACCACGTAACGCTACGGACGCCGAGGCTCCACATCCCGGCTGCGTGTGTCTGCTCTCGCCCGCCGAGGCGAGTTGAGCCGCTGCCTTACCGAAGGAAAGTAAAACCGCTGGTCGTCGTGTCGGGGTGTTGTCACGTAGCTGCTCCCTTTCGTTATCCAGGTTTGTTGCGAGCCGAGGACAAAGCGAAGAACAGCATTTTTGAGAAGTTTAAGGCGAAACAAACGACTTTGAAACGGGCTCGCAGAAGAACTTCATTTAAAAAAAAAAAAAAAAAAAAAAAAATCCAGAAGGAGAAAGCACACGGCGGGCTGCTCTCAGACGAGCATCCCGACTGACCGACCGTCGTTCACTGAGACGCTACGAGTCTGTGCGCACAACACGAACCAGGCAGGACCTTATAGCCGCCACACGGCCAAGTGTTTCTCATATAATCACCGGCAATCTTCAGGGAGGAGGGGGAAAAAAAAAAAAAAAGTTGCAGCCTTCCTCAGTGAAAACGCGCTGCCAGGGCCACTCGACAGCCCTCCGCTCACATCGTGTCCCTCTCTCCACTCACACTGCTGCCACCCTCGCAAACAACAAACATCAACATGGGAGCAGAAGCAGAGCCTCAGCCTGCTCCTCCCCCTCCAGCCCAGGCAGGAGCTCCACTCACCACTCACTGAGGAGATGCAGAGGGGAGGACGAGCTAGTTGGAGGGGTTCCCAAAAGAAGGTCCGGGGACCTCCGGGTGTTCGTTGTGTGTGTGTGTGTGTGGGGGGGGAATCCCTATGAGCAGGGGAGCATCCAGGGAGGGGTCTGGGGTGACCCTGCGTGAGGCTGACTGGAGCCTCAGCACTACATGCGTTATTCTTCCTGCTCTATGACAGGCATTATAACCAATCCAGTTGCTTTTACTAGTTGAAATAGCTTTTAAGGACACATTCAAATCATGTAATACAATTTTCCACTTGCGGAAAAGAGGATGCTGCATTGTGAGTGAAATCAGAATCAGAAAT